CGAAGGACGGCTCGGTCGCGGCAAGCTGCTTGCACAACTTCCACGGCAGGAGCTTCTTGGCGTATGTTTTCGCCCGCTTGAAATAGCCCCACTGTGCCATCGGACACATGCGCATCGTCCAATCGAAGCCGTCCACGAGGAGGGCGACGCACGCCGCCAGTTGAACCGTCGGCTCATGCAGCGTGCGCCACCCGAGGGATTTGCAAGCCTGCAGGACGACCGCAACCCGACCCATGAAGTCGTTGCGCTCGTCCAGGATCTTGTCCCACTGCCTCTTCGTGAGGTAGGCGAGGATGGACGAGAAGTCCTGCATCGGCGTCCTGCCCGACCCCGCCAGCTCCGCGCTTGCGGCCGCGTTAGCGGCCAACATTTGCGCTGAGGCCGTCGCCAACGTCGTGGCGCGGCCGAGCAGCGTGGCAAGCGCCCTCTTGCCGAAAGGCATCTGGCCGATCTCCAGGACCAGCATGGCCGAGTCCTCGGCGGAGATGAAGGTCCACGGCGCCATGATGGCCATCGCCATGGCGCTCTGCGCCTCCGCGATCTCCTTGTACGCGTCGGACTTCTTCCCGATCTGGGCGAGGACCGACTTGGCGGCCTTCAGCTGCTTCACCAGGTCGGCCGCCATGGCGCCCGCGGGCGTCACTCGCGTCGCGCACGCGGCGCGACTGCAAAGCCGACAGCGGCTATGCACAGCGATCGTTCAAAACGATTGCCGCCTACTTAAGTTAGCGATCGGTATCGCTTCTCTGCTTCTCCCTCCTCCTCCCCGCCCTCCCCCAAGCGATCGCTATCGCTTCTCCTTCTCCTCCTCCTCCTCCAAGCGATCGCCATCGCAACCTCCCCCCATCCCCCTTCTCCTCACACAAGCGATCGCCATCGCTACATCCCCCGTCCCTCCCCCTCCTCCTATGATCCCTCCTCCACCTCCTCCTCCTCCTCCTCTCTTGTTTTTGCAACCCGTAGGGTTCGGTCCGTGCACGTCCTACTCCCCCCTCCCCCCCTCCCCCAAGCGGTCGCCATCGCTGTTCCCCCCGTCGCCCCTCCTCCTCCTTCTGGGGGAGGTGAAGCGACGGCGATGACGATGAGGAGAAGGAAAAGAGATGAGGATAAGGAAAGCGATGTCGATCGCTGAAAGGAAGGTGGATGATGATAAAGGAGATCACTGAGCGCCGCGCGCAGCCGCTCTGCCTCGTGGAGGCGCGCGGGGCTCGCGCGCGCGGGGCGCGGAGGCGCGATGCGGGGTGCTCCGCGCGAGCTCGCGCAGGGGGCTCGCGCTTTGGCGCTCAGGCGCCAGCGCGACAACCTGCTGCAGCAGCTCGCGGAGGCGGATGCCCCCTCCTCCCAGCGATCGCCATCGCTCTCCCCCGAATCCTCCTCCTCCGCTTCCTCCCCTTCCTCCTCCTCCTCCACCTCATCCTTCCCCCTCCTCCCCCTTTCCCCCCCCCCCCCCCCCCCACCTCCCCCTTTCCCCCTCCTCCCCCTCCTCACCCCTCCCCCCACCCCCTCCTCCCTTCACTCCACCGCCCCTCTCCCCCTCCCCCCGCCTCTGCAGACTGTCAACGCGGAGCAGACAGAGCGCGCCGTGCAGCTCTCGCTGTGGCTGGAGGAGGCGGGAAACGATGACGACGAGACGACGACGACGACGGCGGCGGCGACGACGACGACGAATGAGGCGGAGCGCGAGCTAGTGATCGCGATCGGCGAGAGGGACGCGGTGCTGCGGCGGGAGGCGGAGCTGAAGGCGGAGAACGCGCAGCTGAGGAAGGAGGCGCAGGAGGCGCAGCTGCTGCGGAGGGAGGGGCAGGCGCGCCTTCAGGCGGAAAATGCGCAGCTGAGGGCGGAGAAGGCGGAAAAGAAGAAGAAGAAGGAGAAGAAGGAGAAGAAGGAGAAGGAGGCGGCGGCGAAGGCGAAGGCGGCGGCGAAGGCGGCGAAGGCCAAGGCGGCGCGCGCCGCGGCGAAAGCGCCAGCGGCGGCGAAGGCGCCGCCAGCGCCGCCAGCGGCGCCAGCGGCGGCGAAGGCGCAAATGCCGCCGCCGTCGACTCCGCCTCCGCGGTGAGGCCGCGCGCCCGCAAGCGCGGAGCGCGCCGCGCGCCCGCATGCGCGAAAACAAAAGACCAGCGATCGTAATCGCTATCCCCTCGTCCTCTTCCCCCCACCCCGCCCTCCCCCAAGCGATCACCATCGCTTCTCTTCCTCCTTCCCGTCCTCATCATCCTCCTTCCAAGCGATCGACATCGCTTCACCTCCCCCAGCGATCGCCATCGCTTCTCCTCCTCCTCCTCCTCCTCCTCCTCCTCCTCCTCCTCCTCCAAGCGATCGCCATCGCTACCTTCCTCATCCCCCTCCTCCTCACCCAAGCGATCGCCATCGCTTCTCCTCCTCCTCCCCATCCAAGCGATCGACATCGCTACCTTCCCCATCCCCCTCCTCCTCACCCCAGCGATCGCCATCGCTACCGCGGCGAGCACCCACCAGGCGGCGCCGCGACGATCTCCAGGTCGATGGGCAAATCCCAAATCCTGAAAAACCTCTTCAAATCCAGATAACCTCTCCAATCCAGAAAACCTCACCAAATCCAAAAAAGATTTCCCCAAATCCGAAAATCGTTCCTGAAAACTACATCCACCTCCTCCTCCTCATCCCTCCTCCCCCTCCTCCTCCTCCTCCTCGTCCTCCTCCTCGCCCTCCTCCTCGTCCTCCTCTGCGTGGGGGCCGCGGGCCGCGACGCCCCTGCGGCGCGGCGGGCGGGCGCGCGGCGGGAGGGGAAGAGAAGCGAAGGAGGGATGGAAGGAAGTTATAAGTTACTTATAAGTAACATATATGTTACTTATACCTACTGCATCTCAGCACGGGTAAGTAACTTAGCGGTAGTTGTAAGTATCTTCCAGCGTCATTAATAATCAGCGAAATACTTATAACTAACCTAAGTATAGTTATGCGACAAGACAAATACTTAAGGGCACATAGAAATAGTTAGAAATACTTAGGTACTTATCCCTTGCTATAAGTATCTTATACCTAGCTGTACCTATGGTGCAACTAGCATAAGAACCACCATTCTCGAAGCGGCTTCGGCGGCACAAGCCGGCGGAAAAAGATCGGGGGCAACGATGGGGGATAGGCATGGGGGGGGGTCATCGACCCCCAATCGCCCATTGATCGCCGATAGGGGCCCGATAGCCCCAGTCCGCCCAGGAGGGTGCGGTTTCGCTGTCGGGGGCCTGTCGCCGATCAATCGGTGATTTATCGCCGACTCCAGGTCGATGCGTCCCCCCTATGCCAGCCCCCCCCAATCGCTGCCCCTCAGAAAACAATTGCCCTCCACGAGATGTCAAAGCTTGACGGGAGTCTGGGTTTCCAGAAACCGCCGCGTGGTTCCATTGGAGACAGCAGAGCGGGGTGATTGCAGGCCCCCAGGGCGAAAACAAGTACACAGTGTTCCTTTCTAAGTTTTCCAAAGTTCTTTCATTTTTTAGGGCGCCAGGACCCTTTCATTTCTAAATGTTCTATCCTGGGCCGCTTCCTGGCCACTAGGGGGCCAGGAACAATTAGAAACGAGCACACTTCGAAATGAGCACGATTAGAAATGAACGACGTGCACACACATTATGTACAATCGGTGAGCGTACGGGGGTGCACAGCCTCGGCGCGCGTGGGGCCGACCGAACAGGTGGGGCCGCGCCAGGATCTTGTCGGAGGCCTTCTCGGGGCCGTCTGGGAGACCTCTTAGTAGCATGCAGAATTTCAGGAGGGAAAGAAACACACAGACACAATTAATCGTCGACTCCCAGGAAAATATGCAAAAATATGGGAAGTGGGGGGGAAGACAAAAACCCCAAAAATATGAAAAATATGGGGAATTATTTTATGTGTGTGTATTTATTTGTGTGTCCCAGGGCCCCTTCAGAATTGACGGCTGACCACGCGACCACAAGCACCGACCACCCACAACCAAGCACCGCCACCACCGACTACCGCCGCCTTGCGCCGGCATCAACACCAAGCCCAGCACAGACGACCAACACAGACTCCACCCAACGACGCGGCACCAACACACCGCGACATCGACTACAAGGATTCCTCCCCCTCCTCCCCTCCCCTTCCGGTTCACAGAACCTTTTATGTCTCGCATGCGCGCACTTCCATACACAATAGTACTTCAGAGGCCACGGCCTCGTTCACCTGGTCTCCAGTAGGCCCGGACTGCTGTCCGCACCGGTGGTCGTTCGTTCTCAGGGGTATACCCTGAGACACCGTCTCGGGGGAGTCCCTTGGGAGGGTATGGGCGGGTTGGAAGGCCGTGGGGCCCGTCTGGAGTTCGTTGGGGCAATCTTGGAGCTGCCATGGGTTGTCTTGGAGGCCGGCTGGGGGACTCCTTCGGCCGCAGTGATGCACGTTTGGGCACCCCTTGGGCCGTGTCGAGGCCTCTTGGGGGTATTTGGGGTTCTCTCTGTGGCCTTAGGAGCCCATCTTGGAGCAAATTGACGCCGAAAGATCAAGAGAAAACGCATATAGCGAATGCACGGGATTGCCTCTCGAAAGCTCTTCACGGAGCAATCGTGCAACCTGCCGGTGGTCTCTTGGGGCCACCTTGGAGCACTCTCGGGGCCCTCGGAGCCATCTTCGGCACGTCGGGGCTCGCCGAGATGTTCGCGGGCCACTCGGGGCGTCCAGTCTGGGCCCATGGAGCAGCCAAGCAGAGCCCAGCGCAGGGCTGGAACTAAACGTTGTTTTTCGTTTTGGTTTCGTCTTGTTGTTCGTTTTGCCCTACCTGGTTTCCGGTACCTCCCTGCCAAAAACAAAAAACAAAACAAAGCCGAAATCCAGCAAAACAGCGTTTAGGTCCAGCCCTGGCCCAGCGCCCAAAGCACGGCCTGAGCAGGGACCCAAGGGGGGGAAGGTGATCCCAGCGGGCTGATGTCGGAGAGGGGAGGCGCTTCTTGGCATGAAGGAACCCCAGCAGCACCTCCTCGGCAGTCTAAGCTGCGCGCCGCAGCCAGGCTGGCGGATCATCGTTGTCTGCACTGGGGTGGCCGAGTACGTGCTCGTTCACTCGGGTGTCGACTCGGGTCTTCTGTCGAAGGTGAGGCTTCTCAGACTGGCGAGGATGACGAAGCTGATGCGGATGGTCTACCACGTGCCGTTCTTTGTCGAGCTGAGGAAGCTGATGTACATGATCAGCAGTTGCATGAAGACCCTGTTCTGGTCATTCTTGGTACTCGGGGTGGTCATGACGATGTGGTCGATCGTGGCGGTGGAGCTCGTCCACCCTAAGGTCCTCGAGCTGTCGTCGCGGGGCCAGTGGTCCGATTGCGAGAGGTGCAGCCGGGCTTTCTCCACGGTGTTCCACGCCAACATCACCTTCTTTCAGACGATTGTGGCAGTCGAAGAAGAAAAAACGCATAAACATCAACTTTTGTAACTCCGCGCGGATTTCTTCGATCCGCGCAGGGCCTTCCCGGCGCCGCTCCGACGCCGCCCCTGGCGCGCTCCGCGCGCCAGGGAGGGGGACACAGCGCGGATCCAAGAAACCCGCGGTGAGCGCAAACGTTTCTGATTACGCAGTTGTTTTTTCTAGGCAGGCGACAGCTGGGGCTTGATGGCGATCCCAGTCATCGAGGCCCACCCGTGGTCCCTCTTCATCTTCACTGGGGCCTTGCTGACCCTCGTGTTCGGTGTCCTCAACGTGATCGTGGCCGTGGTCGTTGACGCCTTCGCGGAAGCGCGCGCCAAGGACGTGTTCACGAGGGCCCGCGAGATGGAGTGGGACGAGCAGCAGGATTAAGTTGGGCCTGTCCCTCTACAGGGGGAGGATTCAAAAATAGTCAAAAAATACCCTGTGACGTACCCAACCCATTTGTATCAATGGAAACGAGAAGTTGGCCGAAACTTGCATGGACAATCGACTTGATGTGTAAGGTACTTCGGGCACGCGCCTATGGCATGATGCGCAGGAGAATCATACAAGAACGAGGGGCGACAGCTACAGGCTCGAAGAGGACATGGGGAGTCGGGAACGCAGAGCAGAAGAAAAACGTGCGGGAAGCCGAAACATCAGCACGGCAACAGCAGAGTGAAGGTGACTGCAGGAGGAGAACAAGGACGAAAGCGGCGTCTAATTTGAGTCTGCGGTGGGTACCCACTGTGCTGTGCCCCTCAGCAGCCCTCGAAAGTGGCGACAGTTTCACAGATCGCAGCCCTCGCCCCCCGGGATGCGAAGGTCTAATTTGATGTCTTGCGTGGGTACCACTGTGCTGGGCCCCTCAGCCCCTCGAATACACCCAACTGTGCAGGGCCCCCCAGCATCCTTCGAAGTTGCGACAGTTTTTTTTTCGCAGATCGCAAAGCCCACCAGGATGGCGAGGTCTAATTTGAATCGGCGGTTGGGTAACCCACTGTGCTTGGCCCCCCCCCACAGGCCTCGAAAGTGGCCAACAGTTCAACATATCGCAGCCCCCCAGGTACGCGAGGTCTACCCCAGGAAAGCGGCGTCTAATTTGAGTCTGCGGTGGGTACCCACTGTGCTGGGCCCCTCAGAAGGCTTCGAAAGTCGCGACAGTTTCACGGATCGCGGCCCCCCATGGATGGCGAGGTCTAATTTGAGTCTGCGGTGGGTACCCACTGTGTTGGGCCCTTCAGCAGCCCTCGAAAGTGGCGACAGTTTCACAGATCGCAGCCCCCCAGGGATGGCGAGGTCTAATTTGAATCTGCGGTGGGTACCCACTGTGCTGGGCCCCCCAGCAGGCTTCGAAAGTGGCGACAGTTTCCCAGATCGCAGCCCCCCCAGGGATGGCGAGATCTAATTTGAATCTGCGGTGTGTACCCATTGTGCTGGGCCCCCCAGCAGGCCTCGAAAGTGGCGACAGTTTCACTGATCGCAGCCCCCCAGGGATGGCGAGATCTACTTTGAATCTGCCGTGTGTACCCATTGTGCTGGGCCCCCAGCAGGCTTCGAAAGTGGCGACAGTTTCACTGATCGCAGCCCCCCAGGGATGGCGAGGTCTAATTTGAATCTGCCGTGTGTACCCACTGTGCTGGGCCCCCCAGCAGGCCTCGAAATTGGCGACAGTTTCACAGATCGCAGCCCCCCAAGGATGGCGAGGTTTAATTTGAATGTGCGGTGTGTACCCACTGTGTTGAGCCCCCCGACAGGCCTCGAAAGTGGCGACAGCTTCACAGATCGCAGCCTCCCAGGGATGGCGAGGTCTAATTTGAGTCTGCGGTGTGTACCCACTGTGTTGGGCCCTTCAGCAGCCCTCGAAAGTTGCGACAGTTTCACAGATCGCAGCCCCCCAGGGATGGCGAGGTCTAGTTTGAATCTGCAGTGTGTGTACCCACTGTGCTGGGCCCCCCAGCAGGCCTCGAAAGTGGCGACGGTTTCACAGATCACAGCCCGCCAGGAACGGCGAGGTGTAATTTGAATCTGCGGTGTGTACCCACTGTGTTGGGCCCCCCGACAGGCCTCGAGAGTGGCGACAGTTTCACAGATCGCAGCCCCCCAGGGATGGCGAGGTCTAATTTGAATCTGCGGTGTGTACCCACTGTGTTGGGCCCCCCAGCAGGCTTCGAAAGTGGCGACACTTTCACAGATCGCAGCCCCCCAAAGGCAGGATGGCGAGGTCGAATTAGAATCTGCGGTGTGTACCCACTGTGCTGGGCCCCCAGCAGGCCTCGAAACTGGCGACAGTTTCACAGATCGCAGCCCCCCAGGGATGGCGAGGTCTAATTTGAATCTGCCGTGTGTACCCACTGTGCTGGGCCCCCCAGCAGGCCTGGAAAGTGGCGACAGTTTCACAGATCGCAGCCCCCCAAAGGCAGGATGGCGAGGTCAAATGCAGGGGGGAAGAGAGGGACGGGAGGGGGTGGGAAGGAGACGGTGGGAAGGAGACGCGGTGGAAAGGAGACGCGCGAGCAGTGCTTTATCTAAAACGAGAACCCAACGCAGGAGGGTTGGGAATTAGTCAGGGGACTATTGTTTGACTATTTTGGGGCATGTTGGGAGTTTTTTTTGTATTTCTCATTGTTCGTCCAAAATCTCCCTGTAGGGGGACACGCCCGACCTAACAGCAGGAGAAGAAGGTGTTGAGCAACATCTTCAACAAAATCGACACAGATGGCAACGGCTCTCTGGATTTCGAGGAGTTGAAAGAGGGGGCCAGGAGGCACCAGCAGTTCAGCCATTTGCTCCGCGTGCTCGACATCGATACCCGTGATCTGGAGGAAATGTTCGTCATGCTCGACCACGATGGGTCTGGCGATATCAGCACGACTGAGTTCGTGGAGTGGATGTACAGGATGAAGAACACAGATTCAAAGACGGTCATTCAGTTCATCAAGCAGAAGCTGACGAAGATAGAGGAAAAGGTGCTCGAACAGGAGGACACCTTGGAGTCGCGACTGAACGACCTGGTGAAGTTCCAGTCCGATTGCCTGCAGAAGCTGAAGGATAATTATGACGCTCCAACTTGTTTTAGCCTTGACCACCTGAAGTAATTTCGCGCACCAAGAGAGCATCGAAACTGGAGGGCTCTCACGCGTCGGGCCCTGAAAGACAGGCCCCCAGCGCGTCGGGCATACACCGTTTCGGTAGCTTTCGGGGGGTGCTCGAACTTCTCTCGGGCATGCGATCTACAAGTACAGTGGAAACAACAACAACAACACCAACAACAACAACAACAACAACAACAACAGCAGCAGCAGCAACAACAACAACAGCAGCAGCGACAACAAAAGGAGGATACCTTCCAGCCCTGCCTGGCCGAGATCTCGGCCCTCCTGGAGGAGGCCCTGCAGAGGAGCGAGTCGTGGCACCGAGGATCGCCCGCGCGCCCAGGAGAGGAACGGGCGAGGGGGCGCGCCCTTCCGAGGAAGGCTCGGGCTGCCCCTCCGGCCTTCCGAGAAGCTCTGTTTTGTGCTGCCTCCTCCGAACCCAGACATGATCGCGTCGTGAAAAATCAGGACGGGCGGTTTTTCACTATTGTTCGGGCCCTGGGGGCCCTCGCCAGGCCTCGGGAGCGTCAAAACACGACTCAGGATGAAAAGCCGGTACTGGGGAAAGGGTCCGGGCTTTTGGGGACGCCGTCCTGAAAATATCAGGACGTCGCATGTCTGGGAAGCCACCGGGGGGGGCCTCCCAGAAGGCCCGAGAGCTCCTGATGGTGGGAGGCTTGAGACGGGGGTCAATGCAAACGGGGGTCAGCCAGAGCGCCCGATCTTGAAGGGCCAGGGTCGCATTGACCCGGGCTTGGGCGCAGGACCTTGCAGGATCTTGCAGGATCCTTCGCGTTGATCCCGGATTGGGTGCCGGATCTTTCAGGAGTTTGCAGGCTTCTGCAAGGCCTGACCCATCTGGGTCTGGGTTGACCTGGGTCAGAAGATCCCCGATGATGGAGCCAGACCGAGGTATCAGATCGAGGTCGGTCCGGGGAGGAGGCCCTGATGTTCCTCGTGTTGGTTAGATGTTCTTGTGCACCCTGGGGAGGGTACAGGGTCCGGCTTGAATAAGGAGCACTTATTTGTTTAAAGGGGTTCGGTCGTTCCTCTACCGTTGTAACGGCGAGCCCCCTGGTGCTCCTTCGGACTTCCTAGACTTACCTGGAAAAAAAGGCGCTTCGTTCCTCATTTCTCGTTCCTCAGGTCAGGCCGAATACTATACCCTTGGATGTTCCGCGTGCTCGGGCCGACGGAGGGCCTCGAGCGATGTTCTCTTGGACTGTCGGCCGTCTGTGGCGCCGGGAGTTGGGGGTGTGGGCAGGGCCCCCACCCTGACACGTCGACTCGTGGATTGTCCGTCTTCGGTTCTCGAGAGGGCGCCGCGGCCGTCGTCTTCCAGGCCTGCGCCCTCCAGGTTAGGGCCTGACGTCGTCTTCACCAAACCACGCCTCACTAAAGGGGGTTCTGTCCATCCCCGAGGGAAGGCCCGCCCCGTCCCGCCGCCCCCCGCTGGCGCGCGCGCCGGCGGCAGGAGGTACGGCCCTCCTGGAGGGCGCCCGCGGCGCCGCGGAGCCCTCGGTGCCCGGACGCGGGGAAGACAAGACTGGCCTTGAGTCGGGTCTGTCCCTGTACGGTTGTGGAGGACGATCGATGAAGAGGGAACGTGTTGCCGAATAATTTTAAGATGTCCAAGCATGTGTTAAAAACATGTTTTAAACAGGTAGAACAGAATGTTTAAAACATGTTCAGAACATGCTTCCGACTTGTTTAACACATTCGAAACTCAATGATTGGACTGTTTGGGTGTCCATTGTCGTGGCATCCACAACTCTACGGTCGAGCGCTTGATTAAGAAACCTCCCCCCGAAAAGCTGGTCCAGCGTTTCATGACCAACTCGCCGGAACGCCGGCCCAGCTTCTGCAGGGGATTGGTAGCCTTAGGTCCTGGAAATGAATAGTGCACGTTTCTGGCTCCGAAAGCTGGCCCAGCGTTTCCTTACGAAACTTTTGAAAAGCTGGCCCAGCTCTCCTGATTGATCAATTTCTTAATCACATGTTCGACTGCACAGGAGGAACACGCAACGATAGTCAACAAAACAGTCAGGGGACGATTGTTCTACTATTGTGCCTATTTACTTGTGTTTTTCTTAAACCAGGATGAACTTTGCATGCAAAACCCGCCTGTAGGAGGACGTGCCCGACCTAAAACCAAGATTCTGGTGCTTGTTTCTCCAAAACCAGGAAGACCTTTGCATCCCAAACCCGCCTGTATCGGGGGAGCGTAAGACCCGGGTTTGCCAGGACTCGGGTTCGCCATCGTTTTTTGACGACCGCGACTCGGATTTTGACGAGGAGGAGTTTTGTGGGATGTCTGCAGCGGGAGGCCTCGTCAAAATGCAGGCTCGGCCTCGTCATTTTTTTGACGACCTCGTCGGGGATTTCCAAGTCCCCCGTACCCGGGTCTTACGTCTCCCCGACTGTAGGAGGACATACCCGACCTACGACTGGCCACGTGCACCGAGCCTGACCCGGCCAGGCCTGGGCCCCGGAGCGGTGCACGCGCCTGCGCGGCCCACGCCGGGAGGCCACGGCCGGCGGCGACCCCGCCGCCGGCGCTCCATTGGGAATGCCGCCGGCGACCCTCGGGTCGGGCGAAAGGGGCGGATTGGGAAAGGGGGGGTTACGAAATTTGCTGCATGCAGCTGGTTTCGGCCTCACCGAGGGGCCCAGTCCTCGATACATAGTCGCCTCCAGCGCCGGGAGGCGCTGGGAAAATCAGCTACGTGAGCTGATTCTCAAACCCCCCCTTTGCTATCCCCCCCTTTCGCCCGACCCGAGACCCAGAACCGGTCGAGGTTGACCGAGCTGCCCAGAGATCCAGCGCATTGAAAAAATCAAGACGGAGGTTTTCGCTATTTTCGGCCTCGAGGGGCCCTCGCCGGGCCTCGGGAGCTTCAAAAGACGGCACGGGATGAAAAACCAGTCCCAGCGAATAGGTCTGGACCTCTCTGAGTATCGTTTGGTCTGGACCTCTCTGGGTCGCGTAATGAAAATCATGACGTCGGGGGTCTGAGTTGACCGAGCTGACGTTTCGGGGACGCCCGATCGTTCGAGCAGTGGCGAAGCGTCCTGGCTTTCCAACAGGCCTACCAAAACATGTTCTGAGAGCCTCTTGTGGTCTGCACAGAGTGTGTTCTTAGGACATATTTTGGCCGAGACCTTTTTGATTTAACGCATCGGGCGCATGTTCTAAGAGCAGCGTTTTTGTTCTTAACACATTTTAGGGGGTCTAAGAACATTACGTGGTAGGCCTATAGGAATGCCAGGACGGTCGGTCCCTGCTCAAATCTGTCAAGGTTGAACGATCCCCGCGGTGTCAGGAACCACCCACGCCCGGGTGTGACACGACACGAACCCACGGTATGCCCCAGATCCTGGGCCCAGGAGGGTCCTCGACAGGATCGGCGGTGCATGCGCAGAATTACAGTTGAAGCGCTCGACTACACGTAGGAGTGACACTTCGCCGGGATGACCTTTGGTGCGGGCCCACTGGGGCATTTGTTGAGTACTTTTAATTTTTCGCCCAAAATCCACCTGTAGGGGGACACGCCCGACCACAGTGCAGCCAAGACGCTGACATGGGGACCAAGCCAGGCTCGGGAGGGGCTCTGGTTTTCGACCGCTGCTCAGGTCCAGGTCGGGGGACCCCTGCGGAGCCGAGGCTCACCGTGGCCAGGAAAGACCCGCCGTTCCTTACCCAGCGATGCCTGCAGTGGCACG